TAGCACCGCCAATAAAAACAGTGCTAGTACCGATTTTACTCATACCTAACTGACACAAAATATGGTATTTAAAACATTTACTGTGCAATGTGACAAATATGGTAATACTACTTCTTTATAAGTTTTAACTTATTTTAATATTTAGAATGATTCTTAGTGGTTTAACTTTAATTTTGTGGTCAAATGCAAGGCAGAGATTGTGTTTTTTCTGTCGTTGTGGGAGAGGAAATGGGAGGCAGAAACAGGAAGCAGTTTCAAGTGCCCAATTCAGTTCATTAGGCACAGAAAGAACTAGAAGGCAAGCGGTTTATGGGCTTTCGGTCTTAATCTAATGTAGATTTACAGGCAAACTGTCTAAATGTGAGAGAGAAAGTGGTGGCCGACCATAAAACTTACCATTGCCAGCAGTAGTTTCAGCCAGTTAAAACTGTGGTGAGTCACTGTTATTGAGAAAATAAATAAAATGACAAAGATGCTTAAAGCTTCTAACATTCCCATCTAAATTCCTTTGAATTTTACAGTAGTAACACTAGTTAAGCTTTCGGTGATTTTGGCGGCAACAATGGTTACCATGGTAAGTCTTTTTAAGTTTCTCTCACACTCACAGCTGCGGTGCGTGTGGGGTTCATAGGGTTGCCAGATGTTGGTTATTTGATGAGCGAGTTGCCAGATGTGATTGTGGTGTGCGATGTGAGCTGCAGGTGGAGTGGTGGATGGAGCTTTATTGATTTGGCTCTGTGATTTCTACACAGTGAAAAACCATTAAATTCCCCTTCACTAAAAGCAGCTGAACAATAGATTACCTCACCCTACATGACTTTCTTCCTTCTGTCTGCCGTATCCCTTTTCTTTTTATTTTCTCTTTTCATTTTTGTCATTCTAAATCATTAGTACTTTAGTTCTTTAGACAAATCTCTGAGGAAGTAAACAACCTCTGTATAAAAGTGAGTTTGTAGTATTTGGCTTGTGTTTTACCATTTAAGTTTGAGGTGGGTAAGATTTTAAAATATTTTTGAAAGTCTCTCTTATATTAATTAGATCAAAAATAATGTAAAAACAGTAATATTTATTATAATTAAAAATTTTCTATTTGAATATATTTTAAAATATAATTTATTACTGTGATTACTTTATTTTCAGCATCATTACTCTAGTCTTCAGTGAAAGTTGCACTTTCACTGCATCATCAACTTTCGTTCAGTAGGATGTAAACAGCGCCCTCTCTGGTCTGAGTGATTTGGTGATTTTACAGTCACATCTTCCATTCGGCATTAATAAGGATTTATTGCTGTTCTCTTAATGTATACTTGTTTTTAAATCTGATTACTAGCTATCTATACCCTGATCTCTTCTTCTGTATTTAAGTGCTTGTGATAATCTGAGTGTGTGTGTTTGCATCTAAATGTAGTAATTCACTCTCACTTCTTCAGGTCTGTGAGTTGAATCCTTGGATTACTATCCAACCTTTGATCTCGTAGCATTCCTGCCCAAACTTCAGCCTATGGCTGTCGCTTTCAAATGCATGTGTTTTGTGTGTGTGACAGTGTGTGTGCGTTTCAGGATGGAGAGGCAATAAACCTGAGAAGGCTTCTCTTCTCACATCACGCTTTGAACATAAGCTACCTATATATGAAGACAGATAGAGACAGGAAGGTGTGTTTGTGTGTGTGGACTGAATGTGAATGATCAATAACATTTGTCAGTTTGTCATGGCAGGGTGCAATTTCAGCCACAGGATCTGTGTGTGTGAATTTAAACTATTTAATTGACTTGATGTCAACATGACATTAGAATTGACACTATTCACTTTATCAGTGCATGTAAATGGTCATATTATTTGTGATTTGTTGCATTTTATTCCAAAGAAACAACATTTATATCAAGACTATTATATGTTTGAAATCTAATTAATTATCTATATATATATATATATATATATAATTAGAATTTAATTACTTTTTTATATATTATTTTACATTTGTCTTTTTAATTTAGTTTAGAATTCCTTCTAATTTTATTTCATTGTATTTTATTTTTTGGTGAGATTTTAGTTTCAATAAATGTATTTTTTAGTTTGGTTTTAGTATTTTAGTTAAAACACAGAATGGTATCATTTGAAAATGTTTATTTAACGTTCAATTTCTCACAACACTAGCTTGTGACATTTTCATTTTCTAATGTAAGTGAAAAGTAAAGGTTTCAAGTTTCATATACTAACTTTCTAAATGTATAATAAATTGTGGCCATTTTTATTTCAGTTTTGTTTAGTTTGGGAGTTTTAGTAAGTATAGTTCATTTTTTCCTTGGTTGTTTTATTTTTATTTCAGATAATTACATTTTTTTTTTAAATTTAGGTTTAGTTCTCGCTAACAATAATAACACTGGTTTGGCTTCAGAATCTTACATTACTAACTTTCTCCGCCACTGAAACGACTTTCCTTTTCCGCTGACATCATCGAGCCCCCTTATGTTTTAGCCCCTCCCCCCAAACTGCCTTTTCATACAGAGATCCATCCAATCAATTCTCAAGGGAATTCTCATTGAATATCCTGTTTGACTTGGAATTCTGTCACATTATGGAAGTAAAATGAGTTTCAAACCTTGAATTGAAGTTCTTCACCTTTTAATAGTTCAGAACACATGTAGGAAGTTTTAAAGTGCCTGTGTATTTGGCACATGGAGCTGCGTGTGTGTGGGTGAGTGTGTATCAGATTTCCGCTGGCACACATACCTCACATACCCGGTATACTTTCTCTGTCACTATTAAACACACTCGCACACACACATTCAAGCATGCTGTGTTTTCCCTGAGCGTGATACTGTTAAAGAAACACATATAAATGTGCACTATGCTCCAACAGCTGTCTGTCTGTTTGTATTTTCTGAAGGCTGGGCAACCTTCAATACAGATGTATTTTCAGAGGCAAGCCAGAAGACGACAGGACAGATACCAGCTATCTGCATGCCGACATACCAAATCCATAAAGTCTGGCCACTTCTAGTCCTGCCAAGCCAGACTTTTCACTGTCAAAGTTTGAAGCCAATTTGAAGCTTTTTGTTTTAGTATTTTAGTTAAAACACAGAATGGTATCATTTGAAAATGTTTATTTAACGTTCAATTTCTCACAACACTAGCTTGTGACATTTTCATTTTCTAATGTAAGTGAAAAGTAAAGGTTTCAAGTTTCATATACTAACTTTCTAAATGTATAATAAATTGTGGCCATTTTTATTTCAGTTTTGTTTAGTTTGGGAGTTTTAGTAAGTATAGTTCATTTTTTCCTTGGTTGTTTTATTTTTATTTCAGATAATTACATTTTTTTTTTAAATTTAGGTTTAGTTCTCGCTAACAATAATAACACTGGTTTGGCTTCAGAATCTTACATTACTAACTTTCTCCGCCACTGAAACGACTTTCCTTTTCCGCTGACATCATCGAGCCCCCTTATGTTTTAGCCCCTCCCCCCAAACTGCCTTTTCATACAGAGATCCATCCAATCAATTCTCAAGGGAATTCTCATTGAATATCCTGTTTGACTTGGAATTCTGTCACATTATGGAAGTAAAATGAGTTTCAAACCTTGAATTGAAGTTCTTCACCTTTTAATAGTTCAGAACACATGTAGGAAGTTTTAAAGTGCCTGTGTATTTGGCACATGGAGCTGCGTGTGTGTGGGTGAGTGTGTATCAGATTTCCGCTGGCACACATACCTCACATACCCGGTATACTTTCTCTGTCACTATTAAACACACTCGCACACACACATTCAAGCATGCTGTGTTTTCCCTGAGCGTGATACTGTTAAAGAAACACATATAAATGTGCACTATGCTCCAACAGCTGTCTGTCTGTTTGTATTTTCTGAAGGCTGGGCAACCTTCAATACAGATGTATTTTCAGAGGCAAGCCAGAAGACGACAGGACAGATACCAGCTATCTGCATGCCGACATACCAAATCCATAAAGTCTGGCCACTTCTAGTCCTGCCAAGCCAGACTTTTCACTGTCAAAGTTTGAAGCCAATTTGAAGCTTTTTCTGGCCAAGAACTGCCCGCTTAGACAGGAAGAGACTGTGTATATTTTATTGACATATTAAGCTATTGAGTTTTTCATGCTCACCAAGGCAAGGAAAAAGTAATAGTGTGAAATATTATTACAATTTAAAAGAACTGTTTTCTGTTTGAATGTATTTTAAAATGCAATTAATTCCTGTGATGCAAAGTTGAACGCCAGTCTTCAGTGTCACATGATCCTTCAGAAATCATTCTAATATGCTGATTTACTGCTCAAGAAACATTTCTTATTATTATCAATGTTGAAAACAGCAGTGGTTAATATGATGCTGAAAATTCAGTTTTGCATCACAGGAATAAATTACATTTTAAAATATATTCAAATAGAAAACACTTTTTAAAAATTTTTAATAATATTTCACAATATTACTGTTTTTACTGTATGTTTGATGAAATAAATGCAGCCTTGGTGAGCAGAAGAGACTTCAAAAAATTTTATTATTCTAAACTTTTGACCGGTAGTGTGTAATATCACGCCATGACCCACAACATCTTCATAGTTTCATTTCTGAGTTTCATTACCTGTGAAAATCTCAGTTTTAAGATCCTCAGATATGAAGTCGGAACTTGTCTTATGTAACATAATAAAAAGTATCATTAGGCTGGAATACAAAATGGATAAAAGCTGGAATTTCAACAATGAGTGAAGTGTGTTTAAGTTGCACAAATCAGTCTGGGGATTGGGTTTTTGGAGGTGTGTGGGAATGAAAGTGCATTGTTGATGCAATTTCACAATGTTTGTGTGTTTCTTTGAGCCAAATTATAGCTGGTAATCAGCTTAATAACAAAAACGGCATCAAGCAAAGTTAATCTCCCAGTGCATGATGGGTAATCGGCCACATTCCACAGTGGCTTAGAGCTGAAACTCATTTCTTTCCCTTCATCTCAACTCTTTAGACGTTTTGTTGATCTGTCCGTGTAATTGTAGCTATTTTTTAGTTTCTCATAATATTTTCTCAGGCTGCACTGTTTTTGTGTGTTACGCTCATGATGATGCATGAAGAGCTGTATGATTTCTTGAAGAGACGGCGGTCGGTGGGTTCGCTCCGCTGGTTCCTGGAGGAACCGGACCCTCCGACCCCTCTGCCTCTCACCCCGTTGCAGGAGTACCTGCAGAAGCTACTGGAGATGAAGATGCTCAGTAGTGTGAGTAGTCATAGCGACTGCATCCCTCAACGACTAGACTGGACATACAATTACTATAGTATACAATTTATTAAATGACTCTTTGGAATAGTTGATTCTGATTGGTCAAATGTGGCATTCTGTGTTAAAATATTTTGTATGTTGGCTTCAAAATTATATTATTAATCATTGTCCTAGGATACTGATTTCTTAGTGTTATGTCTATCGTATCACTCTGCACCATTTTGAAATCAAATATTTAATTTTTATTATTTATTTGGTAAGTAGCTGTGCAGTAAAGTCCAGTCGGCTTTATGTCGGAGTCCTGGGACTGGATTCATGAAACAGTTTTAAGAATTAAATTCCTCATACTTTTTTCATTTCCTATTAATTTTAAGCTTAAGAAAAATATTTTGCGTCTTTAAATAAAATTGATTCAAATTGAAATATTATGAGGATACAATAAAACTTAGAAGAGTGTTCATAAAAGCCTTTTATAATTTTAATGAAATTAGCCCCCTGCATTTTTTAACCTGAGTGCTGGAATACTAAAACCATTTAAAGGTGACATATCATGAAAATCTGACTTTTCCAGGTTTTAAGTGCTATAATCCGGTCCCTGGTACATCTACCAATCAAGGAAATGTGAAAAAGATTAACTTAGTAACTTGGTTTTGATAAGCTTTTTTCTGCAAGCGTCTGAAAAAACAAGCGCGTCTGATCTCGCTCCCCTAGTGACGTTGCAAAGGGATCTCATTATAATATTACCGCCCCTTCATCTGTAAGTTTCCACCCATGGCGCCGTTATTTTGATTTCGCAAGCGACAACGGTGTACCAGTTCTAATGTCATGGAGAAAGTTTGAGCAAAACATGCTAACTGTTCTGTCTTTGGCTGCACAGACGAGCACAGAACACTATTTAGAGTCCCAGCCTCAGAGGAGACAACAGAGCAGTGGATTTATTGATTTATTTAATGTATATTGCTGCTGCCACACAGATCTAAAATAAACA